TGAATCAATACCCACTCAAAGAGACCCAATCAGACAGACTAGAATTGCCTCTGTGGGTTTCCAGGACTGTACCTCTTTACTGGAATAAAAAACCCCATCTTTGTCCCAAGCAGTAGCTGGTGGTTTGGAGCAGCTGATTTTGTAGTTAGCAGCCCAGAGCATCACCACTGCATCACTGGGGCTCCTGAAGGTCCCAACAGAAGGAATGAAATGAACAATTCAAAGTGGGGAGTTTCTACCCATCTCTGAGACCAAACGAGTGCAGAAGAGGGAGGAGGGTTAGGAGGAAATGGTGGGAAAGTGTAGGAGGTAGAGTTGGAGGGCCCACACATGGATGAAGCCTCCGGCGCTTTCCCTCTAACTGTCATCCAGGGATGTGAAGAGCCTTGCTATCAGATTGAGAGTATTATAAAGTCGATGATGACAGATGCCGTTTCATCTCCCTTTGGGCCCATTAAATTACTCTAGTTTTAATGTTTTAGGCTTTCTTTTGGATTGAGGTTTTTCTGTTTATTTCCCACCCCCCAGGGTGGGGTGGGGTATGTTTTTGTATATGAAATCTAAGATAGGTAAAGTTATAGTCATAGTAGTAACAGGTTAATGGTTCCTTGAGGGTATGGTAGGTGGGATGGTGGGATGGTGGGGGAAGGCAGAAATGAGGAGCTAATTAAGGTGGGCACAAGAAAGAAGAAAATGTTCTAAAATTGATTGTGGTGATGATTGTACACCTCTTTCTAATTTGGCTGAACCATTAAATTGTATGAAATGTGAATTATATATGTATGCCAGTAAAGCTGTTTAAAGACAAAACAAAGTAAATTAAACCCATTGTCATCAAGCTGATTCCAACTCACAGTGACCAGGTAGGACAGAGTGGAACTGCTCCCTAGGGGTTCCAAGGCTGTGAATCTTTATGAAAGCGGCTGCCACATCTCTGTCCTGCCAAGGGGCTGCTGGTTTGGACTGCGGACTTTTCAGTTAGCAGTGGAGTGCCTACCAACCTGCCACCAGAGCTTCTCTTTAGCTAGTTGCCCTCTCACTACATCATTTTCAGATTACAAAACAAAACCTTCCAACAATAGGAAGGTCTTCGATGATAGAACAGGAGGATGGAAGGAATGTTACATTTTTGAAAGAGCAATGGTGGGGGAGGGATAGAGAAAGCAATAAAGGAATCTAATCTGATTGTCTTTAAATCCTAATTCAGTTAAATTTCTTCTTCCTTCGTGTCTTATCTGCCATGCCAGCTGACAACAAATAAACCAATGACATTTATTTATCAATTAAAATGTAAGTTCCACTTAAAAACCTCTACAGCTCTTAAAGGACACGTCATTTTTTACCATGTGGTTCGTCCTTTTATATTTTTAGAATGATTGTACAAGTCTTTCAGTTCAACTCCTTTTCTGTGTGTCCCTCATAGCACCGCCTAGAGTGCTGTCTCCGTGAACCTTAAAACTGGGATACAAACATCGTGGAATAGAGACAAACCAGTTAAAATTCTGAATGAAACGGAAATCTTCACTTTTACTGTGATAAAGACAATTCAGTCTCTTAGTAAATTTTTAGCTACTTGTAACACAAAGAGGACAGAAGTCAGGATTCTAGCTTGGATGAGGAATTGTTGAAGGTGTCTGTGAATAATGTTTACTCAGCTTGGTCTAAAAAGATTGCCTGGCCTAAACTCATTCCTGGAACCAAGGAAAAGAATTAGACTTGATAAGGGTAAGCTGGAGCAAATAGCTGTAGTCCTAACTGTAACCAAAGTGAAGCAAACACCAGTTGACCAAGTCTTGGTTCTGTTTTTCTGACTCCCCCAAATTAGGCTTCACTGAGATCTTTGGTCCATTCTTGACTCTTTATCTAAGTCTAAAAAAGCACGAGCTTGTTACGTTAAACTATGGGAAAGGCTGGCTGAGTTGTGACTGAACATTGACTTAATTATCACTGATAGAATGCCTTACTTGTTAAACAAACCTGAGGATCTAACAAGTCACAGGATGTTAGCTGATGTTTAAAAGTTTAATATTATTGTTTCACAAACTCATGTAACTTTTTGCCATGCTTCAGCTTCCCATTTCTGTCTGTGAAACACAGTGCTATTGTTTCTCCTGTGTTCTCTCTAAAAATCATAACACACTGTATCATTTTGCCTGGATCGTGACTTCCCATTTCACAACACGTTCTGTTTTTACATGGCTCAGTCAAACTCTTTGTTTTCATTTCTAGCAGAGCTTAAATAGTTTCACTACAACAGTAGACGATAAATATTAACAGTTTCAGTAATGGCTACTGCATATCACTCTAAACATATCCACCACTGTCTGTTTGTTGCACTGTAATGGCGTAAAACAGCAATCTTTTCTAGTTATTATCGCTCCTGGTTCTAAGGGTCTGCTAAGTGCTTCTCACTGGGGGAGTCAGGAAACACCTGAAGGCACCTCTCACAGCTCTCGAGGCTGACGTTGGCTAGGCTGATTGGCTGGGACCTAAGACAGGGCTGCTACCAGAATACATATACAAGGCTTTTCCATGTGACTGGATTGGTGACTGGGCTCAAGAGCAAAAGTCCTTATGGAGAGAGCTAAATAAATATGTTACCACCTTTTATAATCTAGCTTCAGAAGTCTTGAAGTAATATTTTGCCACTTTCTAATTTTAGAATTAAATCATTAAGGCTAGCCTTTATTCAAGGGAGGGGAGTTGAGACTCCATCTTTTGTTGAGAGGGGTGTCAGAGAATTTGCAGATACCAGCCACAATAAGCACTAAATAGATGTCTGATTTTTGAGTATTTATCATATATTTTTTAAAGCCTCCAAAATACAGAATGAGTGGTTCACAGACTTAAAAAGCCTCAGTAGTTGACAACAATGCTGCTACTTCTGCTACTACTCATGGCCATTTGTTTTACATGTGTTTGTAACCTCCTTTTGTAATTTCCTTGTAAGAGATGGAGTTGTTTAGTCCAGGGAGGTGTGTAGTGTATCTGTGCTTTTCCTACTTTCTTTCAAGCAGCAGATATGAATTAACTGAAGATCTTGTTAACATGCAGGTTTAGTAGGGGTGAGGTGGGCCCTGGGAGTCTGCACTTCTAGCAGCTCCATGCTGTTCCATAGACTGAAAGCTAGTGAGAAGAATGCAAGAAAGTTGGTTTTTGGTGGTTGAGTTAGTTAATTGTGCCAGCCTGGCCGATAATCACATGTGGGGCTAATTGAAAGGCGGAGGGATAAATGGGTGGTGAGCCTCGCCTTTCTAGTTCTCGGGTCTCTTGCTTTGTGATGGTCGCACTAGGGTGCAGCTGCCTTAGCAGTTCCCTGCTTCAGCTTGCAAGATTGACTTCATACAAGACATCCCCAAGGAGAAGCTACACGGACCTATCCCGATGCAGCCCTGGGTGCTGGAGCAGCCGTGTGGAGACCCCTGCTAGTGCTGAGATGCTTGTTCGTTCACTGACTCAGCTTTCCTCCTGCAGTCGGCATCATTGCCTCTGTTTTGTGAGGTGGAGGACTTTGTGAACTGGCGTTGGGTTAATGGGTTAATGTTGGACTTGTGGGCTTGGGCAGCATTGGGTTGGGATGTTTTCGTGATGCACATTTTCTTTACGTAAAACTCTCTTATACATGAGTTGCTGTGGATTTGTTTCTCCAAAGTTCCCAGACTAATACAATGGTGCACACTCTTAATGAGTTCCATGGCTGACAGCAAGATTGGAGTTGGGAGCTACTCAGAACCAAACCCCAAACTCACTGCCATGGCGTCAATTCTAACTTAGAGTGACTTTACATAGGGTTTCCAGGACTGACAGTCTGTATGGGAATAGACAGCCCCTGCTGCCCCAGAAAGGTTGGAGGATGGCGCTGTCCAAAGGCAATATGGAATAAAGTCCTGGCAATCTACTTGTGGAAAACCAGCTGTTAAAAGCCCTGTGGACAGCAGTTCCACAGTTCTCGGCTCTCTGAGTTGGAATCAACTTGCCAACAATGGTTAAAGCTAAAGGGGGATCCCCCACTTCCTCTTTCTCCAGTTGAGTTCATACAAGCACTGTGTGTTTACATAACACTGGCTTCCCAGCCAAGTGGAACTCCTGATGGTTAAATGTAACCAACTCTGCCACAGGTCTTTTCAAGCTGGAATTCAAGGAAGAAGGAACACTTCCTCTTGTTGGTGGTAAAAGTATGGAACATGAGACTCTGGGGTTATCAGCTATGTGAGAAGTCAGTTGACATTCCATTCTTGAGCTTCAGACCTGACTCCCCTCTTCAAGACTATCTGACATAGGCAATCATCCTCTTAGGAGCCCTGGTGGCACAGTGGTTACGTCCTCCGCTGCTAGCCAAAAGCTCCATAGGACAGCGATGTAGCCATCTGCTCTGTACAGATTTACAGCCTTGGACACCACATGGGGCAGCCCTGCTCTCCTACACGGCCACTGTGAGTTGGAATTGCTTGGATGGCCTTGGGTTTAACACCCCGTTAGCAAATTCCCCTTTGGACCTAATTTTCAGTTTGCTTTCTATCATTTAGAACTAAAAATGTTCTGATTAGCATGTGATTGGGGGAGAAGGGAAAGTGGCAAAGAATATATGTGAAATTCCAACTGAATTAAAATCCTTATGATCTGGGGTTTGCGTTTGGAGATAAGCGTGTCAGTTTTTACTCCAAAATGTTGTCTGCTATAAGCAGGTCAGTGTAAGACAGTGCCCAGAACTGAGTGGGCGTTCAAAACAAGACGTCGGTTTAGTCCTACCCAACAAAGAGCAGAATGTTGAACTTCACCTGTGCCAGGCACTGACTGCATCTATGACCTTATTTAATGCCACTTAAGACACCTTCACTGTTTGTCCCAGCTGATCCTGGTCAGAGGAAGGCACACTGAACCCAGATTATATCACATGACACACACCCCCCCCCCTCACTGAGCAAACGTTGTAACTGGGTGTACTTTGGGCAAATCTTACGAGGACTTTAAGGCTGCAAGCAACATTGGTGAAACAAGAATGACCATGAGCACCCTTTAATGTCTGAAACAAACGCATTTCTAATAACTAGTTTCTTGATTACACTTCCATCTATAATGGTTCTATATTAATTAAAAGCTTACATAGTTAGTAAACACAGTATTTCATAGCACATTTCCAAACAATTAGCATCAAAAAAAAGAAAAAGGACTGGTTACCACCAAGATGTATTGACCATTAATTGAAAAGCTTTCATCTTTAAGCAGCAGGTAGTTAACTTTTCCGACAGGTACATGTGGAGCTGCCAGCAACAGAACAGCAATATTGGAGAATACTTTCTTTGTTGAAAATGCCCAGGGGTATAAAATAAGATGAAGAAGTAAAGAGGCTGATTCCATAAAGCAAAAATGGTTACCAGTCTTATTATTTTATAGCTATACCTTGTGGTATAGTTATACAATATTTCACAAGTTAAACAGTACCTTCTGTAGATGGGCTTAATTTTCATATAATCAACTGGATAAAAGTTCTGTTAATGCAACATTTGTTGTAGTGATTCTAGGAACACACAAGTCAAAATTACAAATTATGATTCCCACAGTAACTGTAACTCTGCCACGCAACATACATAATGGAAAAAATGCTATCAATATATAACATAGTAGAATATTCCCTGTAAGCAGAAACAAATTGAGTTATGCTTGTTGTGGGAATCATCATTTTCAACTAGCTGAGGATATGTAAAAATTGAGACCATACATTATTTTTTGCACTTAATTCTATTTTCTCTTGATCCAATTTAATTAGCATTTCATCCAAAGTATAGTTCTCTTTTAAAAACTCTAAATGAACATCTTTTGAAATTTTGAAACCAAACATCATTTGGTTTCTTTTGTTCAGCCAGACTGCCTTTGTCGGATGGCATCATTATACCCTGTCCCTCCCCCAAATGCCAGGACAAGATGCTGGGGTCCATTTATCTGCACTCCTCTTCCCTCTGAAGGACACACCGGGGAGGAAAGGGAATACCGCAGAGAATAAGAACCACATTGGAAAGCTTAGAAAGGTAAATCAGTGAAACAGAAAGAGGAGCACTGTAACTATTAACTTTCCCCATGGTATCTTCCTCAGCAGACATGAGAATAATAATGCCACCATATATTTACAATTTCCAAAGTGTTTAGTCACAACATTGCCTCATCTCTAGACCGCACTATGAGATACCATACACACCCCTCTGTTTTTCAGCTTTTGTGGCACAAGCGGAATTTTAAAAAATGTGCTTTTACGTTATCATTTAAAAGGCAGACCATTTAATTCTAGTTAACATCTTTCCTTCTAAATATACTCGCTTATATTTACTACTGAAGGCAGAATAAACTTTATGTAAAAAGATTACTGTTACAAGCTAAGCATTTAACATATTTTTAGTTTTTTCACTACTATATTCTGAAAATTTGATAATGAAAGAGAGAGAAATAACTGCCCTCTGAAACTCTGCCTGGGCAAAATCGATCCTGTATAATATATGCAATATTACTTTTCCCACTTTGGTTTTAATAAGAAGAGCACCTTCTACAACCTGTGAGGAGGAATCTCTTTCTTTCCAGAAGTCTTTGCCATCACGATAGGTTTCTTTATATCCAAACGAAATGACTTTGGCTCAAGGAACAATCATACGTCCTTTACTACTCCAAGAATTTCTGCCCTACCATGATGTTCATAACTTTGTATAGCTGGAGGGTGATATGGTAAACCTTTTTATCGCTAAGCTGTATAATGATCAGGCTATACAAATGTAAAGTTTCTTTTTTCTCCTTTTTCTGTGCACAAAATGATCACTCTCTATATATAATCACAATATTTCCTTCTTCATTTAAACAGCACACCAATATAAACATCAATCAAAACAAAGGCCAAGAGCTCGCAAAAGCCCGAATATTCTTTCTTCTAACTTAGGAGCTAGCATAGTCAATCTTCTACTTGGGAAAGTATGACCATTTTATATGTATTTTAAAAGGTAATATATTTAGTGAGAAAAGAAACACAAATCCTAATAAATATTAATTTGGGAGGCTTTCTTGTGGAAAAGAAGCGGCCAGCTCAATGACACTAATACTTATAAAGAAGATATTTGTAACAGTTAACATATACGTTTCTGAATAAAACATATAAAAGGACCCCTTAGGATATCAACACTGAACTTTCCATTTTGTGCCCCCTCATATGCAAAGTTTTAAAAAGAAAGAATGGTATCTAGGGTTGATCACAAAGCACAATCGCAATACTATTTCCAGCTATCCCAAAGATGCAGAGATGACCGGTAGGCAAAAAAACAACTTAAGACCCGAAAGGACGTTTCCTCCCTTAGGTAATTCACCAGTCAAACATGGAAGCATGGCACGAAGACAAAATCCCCATCAGTCACCCAGGCTGTAGGGTTGTTGTCAGGTAGAGTCTAGAGCCAGCTAATCAGAAAGGATTACCTTAAATAGAATGAAATAAAAATCCCTTTTGCTTGTCTTTGTCAAAGTAGAAACTGAAGAGGCGAACTTGTAGAACATGATGTTTAAAAATGAAAAACAATGGAGGCTGCTTTTGTTGAGCAGTCACTATTTCAAATTCCCAAATGCCTTACATTTCCCAGATAAACTGACAGCAGAAAGGTGCTGGAGACTGTCAGCACCACAGCTTCGAAATCTAATTTTCATACTTATTTATAATTAGGAATGCACACTTCCACGAGTGACTGGCAGTAAGATAGTATACCTTTTAATAGGAACAAAAGGGAAATATTAGGAACAAGTGATTAACTGCAGAAGAGCACTTAATGAATCACTGTGCATGTGTACAGTGCACTCTATGAAACTGCTTGAAGAAACTACGATTCTCTTATAAAATGGAAAAGGAAATTTCAAACTGTCATGTTCTGTGTTTCTATTGTGAGAAATATATGTAAAGAGAACATGCATAAAATACTAACAGAAGTTACCTTTACTAGTGAGACTTTAACGTCTTCACATTTTTTTTTCTTCTCCAGAGAAAAGTGGATAAATAAGGGGTAAACCAATATATTCTAGTCTCTTTATGCCTTCTACAAAGAAAAGAAAATTGATACATATTCAGTGTCATTAAGCAATAAAATTACAATATGATTTTTCTTTAAGTTAAAAAAATCACTACTTCACACAGTTTACAGTTTCCTTATACTTTTTTAGTCAATTCACACAGGGCAATATATAAACACACATAATGACAAAGATCTTAGACCAAAGGCAGCAGTCTTTTGTGTCATCTTCTTCATAAATCACGTCTAGAAAATGAACTTCATATGCTTCACTCCATATGTTTTGAAGAAAACCATGATAATAAGCGCCCACAATCCCAGAATAAAACCACCAGGAGGATGCCAATCTTTCAGTTTGGGTTTCTGCAAAACAAGAATGACATGTTAAATTTAACAAGTAAATTATTCAGCAATGCATAAAGCAAATATTGATGAAGTATAGATATTTCACTGTTTTAAGGGGGAGTAGAATTGCTCTGACAGTTTTTGGAATTAGTAATTTAGATGTTTACCTGGTTTACCTATGCAAAATCATTTGACTATGGAACATGACAAATTATAGATAACATTTTGAAGTAATTAAATTCTAGAACATTATGTTATACCCACAAGGAGCCTATACATTGCCCTTCAAACAGAACAAGGGCATACTATATGGTTTCAAATCAAGAAAGTGTCGTACCCTTTCTTTATGCTTATTCAGTCTGGTCCTGGGCAAATAAGCTAAGAAGGTGTACTATATGAAAATGACTCATTAACAAGCTATGATATGCAGATTATATATAGTGAAAAGGATTTGAAGCACTTACTGATAAAAATCAAAGACTACAGCCTTCATTATGGATTATACAACAATATAAAGAAAACAGAAATCCTCACAATAGAACTGATAAACAACATCATGATAAATGGGGAACACATTGAAGTTTTTAAGGATTTCATTTTACTTGGATCCACAATCAACTACTCATAGAAGCAGCAGTGAAGATATCAAAGGACATAAGGAATGGGAAAATCTTCGGCAAAGACCTCTTTAAAAATGTCACTTTGAAGAGTAAGGTACTTAACCCAAGCCATGGTATTTCCAATGGCCTCATATGCATGTGAACATTGGGCAGTGAAATAGGGAAACCAAAGAAGAATTGACACCTTTGGATTATACTGTTGGAGAATAATACCAAATATATCATGGATTGCCAGAAGAAGAAATGTCATGGAAGAAGTACAGGCAGAATGCTCCTTAGAAACGAGGTTGGTGAGACTTTGTTGCAAAGAATGGTATGAGGTCCATGTCTGACCTCCTCTGGTTCCCCTTTGCTGCGAGGCAGGGGTCAGACATGCCCCACACTCCCTCTTTCTTCACCTACTCTGACACCAACCATTCCTCTCATTCCTAATCTATGTCTATGCTGGGCCACATGGAACCCACAGACAATACTCACAATGACAGGGTTTATTAGGAGGGGTGTGTTAGTCTGGGTTGACTAAAGAAGCAAATTCATAGACACCCATATATATATATATAAGAGCTTTATATAAAGTATAATTTTATATTAAGAAAACAACTTATCCCAATCCAGATCAAGTCCATAAGTTCAATATTAGCCCATATGTCCATTACCAGTCTGTAAATTCCTTTTCAGACTCTCACAACACATGCAATGACGCCAAATACAGGAAGTTCACAGGCCAGTGGGTGGAAATCTTGTGGGTCCAGTGGTGGTGGAAGCATCTCAGTGCTGGTGTGGGTCTCCATGTGGCTCCTCTAGCTCCAGGGCTCTGGCTTACTCAGCATAGCTCCATGTGGCTTGTTAGCAGAAATGTCAAGCAGAGAATGAGAGTGGGTCTGGCATTCACTGAGCTATTTATCTCCACAGTACCTCCAAATGAGGTCATCAAGCTGCGATCTGACTGACAGGCTAAACTCCACCCCTTCATTATTAATAGTCTCAAGTTGACACTAGATCAGGCAACCACCACAAGGGGGTACCAAAAAAAATCTGGATGTGATGTGAGGGAGATAGTGCATTTGGAGTTCATTCTGCCAGGTCAGACTGTTAATCAAGCTTTCTATTTAGAGGCTATGAAAAGATAACAGTGGGTGACTTTAAAAGCCTCATTTGTGGTGGGAGACGGGGACTGGTTTTGCTCCTATAACTTTGGCAAAAACAGCACACCTCTCTTGCCCCACACACCTTACTTACCTGACCTAACTCCGTGCGCCTTCTTTTTGTTTCCGTAAATGAAGAAGGACATGACAGGACAATATTTGATGGCATAAAAGAAGTAAAGAAAAAAAACAAGGGAGGTACTGTCAGTCATCCAAATAGATGAGTTTGAAAAATGTTTCTAAGAATGGAATGGAGAGTACTTTGAAGGTGATAACTTGTTTTGCAAAAAAAAAATTTCAAATACATAGCTTTGAAAATAAACAAACAAAAGGTTGGTTTGGGTCCCTCCCCCAGCCCCGTGTAAATCTGTTACAAGTCAGGATCAGCCAACATAGGGCTATAGTCATTGGTTTCCTCAGTCAGCAGCCAAGTCTCAGTTCTTAGTTTCTCAGCCAAGTGATATTCAAGTCTTTGTCTAACTCTTAGTCATTCAGCCCCAGCGTACCCTGAACTTTGCCTCAGTGGGCCAGCAAGTCAGCCTGCTTGTCACTCTGTCCCACAGTTCCATAATCTCAGGACAGCTGAGGAGAAGGTATGCCATAGTCATGATGCTGCTCGTCTGAGTCTCACAGTCCACGATGTATCTGGTCTTGGTGTCCTCCTTGAGACAGAGATCTTGAATGTGCTCTCCCAAATTCCC